GGAGCCGGGCGCGGACAGAGGCGGGCGAGGGGCGGGTTAAAAGCGGCGGCAGGTGAACGGGGAGGGACCTTAAAGCTCCGGGGCGGCGTGGCTGGGACCGGCCGCTCCGCAGGCACCGCCGGACCCGGACCCGGACCCGGACCCGGGAGCGGAGCAGCGCGGAGCAGCGCGGCGCGCCGGTCGCGTCCCGTCGCCCTGCCGAGCCGTGCCAGGTGAGGGTCCGGAGCGGCTGCCGTGTGCCGGAGCGGTGGATTAGGCTGCGCGCTCCCGCAGCGGGTCGGGATATGTGTAGTGTGCCGGCCTGGAGCCCGGGCCGGGGGGCGTCCCCGGCGGGGCTGGGGTCGGGGGCGGCCGCAGGCAGTGGAAGGGGAGGTGGGAGTTGCGAGGCGGGGGTAGTCACGCCGCGCCCCCGTGCCCCGGTTGCCTGTCGGCGAGGCGGCCGTGCTGGGCTTGGGGCTGCCTGCCCCCAGCTCCGGACTGGCCGAGGCGGCGGGGCTGCGGGTCGGGGCGGCAGCGAGCCGGGGGGGGCTGCCGCAGCAGCTCAGCCGGCTCTGGGAAGAGCCGTCGGGCCTCAAAGCCAGAACTGGCGTTGGCAAATGGGTGTCTACGGCCAGGAGCCGATTGCGATCGGCCCGTGGCGTTTCCCGCTGCGGGCGCCGCGTCCGCCCCAGCGCTCCGGGCGCTCCGCAGTTGAGGGGAGCAAAGCTCGGGGCGGAGGGAGGGGTGGGCTGGGAGCCGCCTCAGGGCGTCCAGCCTGTGACCGCAAAGTGGGGACTTCGAGTGGTTTCCAATAAAAGGATGTCTTGGTTGGCAGGGTGAGTGTCCCGGTGGATTCACTCGGTCCCCACAGTCAGTTTCAGTGTTTCTGCAGTGGCAGATGAGCACGGAGAAACGTTGGGTTTTCCCCCCAAACTGGCAGCACTGGTTCAGAACTGCAGTGTGAGACTGCACTTGGAACCCAGGTTGTTCGTCCCACTGGGATATACACTTCAAATACTTTCCTTCAGTCCTGATTAGCCTCTTGTCACATTTTCATTGACTTTGTTTTAATGACTATGCAACAGACATTGAGGAAATTCTTAACAGAAAGATGCAGATAATCTGATCGTATCCTAGAGTTTAGGTCAGTGTAAAAAGTTGTGTAAAATGCTGCCAGTTTCAGCAGAGACAAAACATGAGAAGTCCAAGGAATTCCAGCCACCTTCTCAAAGCTTTTTTTTCTCATCTTACCCAATTTCACCTTTCCTCATCACGGTGAATCTGACCTCTCCCTCTTGCCTCAAGGCTTGTCTGTACAAGCTAGGCCCTTGTACCAAGGGTATGTGCTGGGGCACGTTAGTCCTTTAGTTGTGTTGTAACTACACCAGGGTAGAGAAATGATTTTTTTTTTTTTCCTCTGTTATGTGAGAATCAGAGATTTTGAAAACTTTGACCAGTGTGGTGTTGGAAGGTACCAGGCTCTCCCCACAGCACACAGCCAGCACCAAGAGGTGACGGAGCTCTTATCCATGGCCAGTGTGGTCCTCCCACATAGCAAAGCTGAGCCCCAGCATTGAAAGATGATGGACCAGCTATGCAAGTTCCCAGCTCTGGTTTCGAAGTGTTTTGTCCGATTTGGTGATAGTTTCCAAATGGCTGTGATCAGTGAAAGCTGAGCCCTGAGACTGAATTCTGACTTCAGCAAAACTTATGTTTAACTTTCAAAGGGGTAAAGGGTGTGGATTTTAGTCTTAAAGAGTAGGAGGAAAGGAGGAAAGCTGAAATGGAGCTTCTCTGAAGTTTGACCTCCTACTTATTCTGCTGGGGTGTGATAGCATCTAGAAAATCAACATAAACTCTTTGAGGGCTTTTTCCTCTCAACTCTATGGCTCTGCTTGCCTCCTTTTTGGATGAGATAGCAATGAATGTGGAAGGGCAGGCTCTGTGGTATCTTCCTTTGCCTGTTGATTTGTGCTATATATGCATGCAGCCCTGACAGAGCCGGCTTGAGGCTTCTCAGCAGTGTTGGCAAAACCAAATGCTATACTTGTGAGATGAAGGGCCATGTCTGAGCTACAGCAGAAAGTCTTGGAGGCCTGCTGGAGGTGTTTGGGTGGAGTGAGGGCTTCTGCTGAAGAAGGCCAAGTAGTACTTACTTTGGAGGCAAAGAAAGCACCAGCCTAGCCTTTTAGGGCTGTGGTGTTGGCAAAGAAATCCTGTGAAAACTACTAGAGAAGTCTCTACTTTGTCCAGATGTGGCCTTAACTTGTGCAGTGACAGTAATTTCTGTTGCTTTGGGAAATACATTGAGAGGCAAAACACTGATGACAGTCAACCACAGAAAGGGGAATATCTCAAGAAAGGGAAGGAGGGCATAGAGGATGCATGGAGGAAATGTACTTGAAGATGTAACTTGTTTCCTGCCCAAAGCCTTGTTGAGAAATATACCAAGGTATGCTTGTCCCATCATAAATACAAGGAAGGAGAGAGTTTAATAAGCTGTTTGAATCACTAAACTTATGAGTGACACTAATGAAAGTGACTTGCATTTGCATATGATTTTTAAGTGAGTCCTAGGAAGTCCTCTCGTTTGTAGAAGGTCTAGATCTGATTTTTCACCCTCTGAAAAGTGACCATTTGGTGTATTATGTCATCCTGCAGGTAAAAGGACACAGAAAAGAAGATGGACTGGGGAAGTCTGCAGGCCGTTTTAGGAGGCGTAAATAAACACTCAACCAGTATCGGGAAGATATGGCTCACAGTCCTGTTCATCTTCCGTATCATGATCCTGGTTGTGGCTGCAGAGAGAGTCTGGGGAGATGAACAACAAGATTTTGTCTGCAACACGCTTCAGCCTGGGTGCAGAAATGTTTGCTATGATCACTTTTTCCCCATCTCTCACATCAGACTCTGGGCCCTGCAGCTGATCTTTGTTTCCACACCTGCGTTGTTGGTGGCAATGCATGTAGCTTACACCAGGCATGAGAAGAAAAGGCGATTCAGAAATGGTGAGAAAATTGATATTGAAGAGCTGAAAAATGAAAAGATTCACATTCGAGGCCCCCTGTGGTGGACATACACCAGCAGCATCTTCTTCAGGATTGTCTTTGAAGCAGTCTTCATGTATGTGTTCTATTACATGTATGATGGGTACCAGATGCCTCGCTTAGTGAAGTGCAATGCATGGCCCTGCCCCAACACAGTGGATTGTTTTGTGTCTCGGCCCACTGAGAAGACCACATTTACTATTTTCATGCTTGCTGTGTCTGGAATCTGCATGATGTTGAATCTGGCCGAGTTGTGTTACCTAGTGATAAAAATTTGCATGAAAGAATCCAGGAAAACAACGGTTTTAAAATAATTCCCTGCTTTCAGGATTTCCTAGCTCCCCATTTCCCTTAAACTTTCTTAGGTGTCAGAAAACAATCAGCAATATTTTCACACTCAAGGAAAAGGATAAAAATGAATTTCATTCATGTTTTAAAAATTTTAGCCTCCCTGGGAAGCTGCCACTGAGGCAGGTTTTAAAGATCATGAGCTAATTCAGTATTCCTGCATTCACAAATAGAGAGAGCAGCCTTCTGGCAGCAGCTTTTCCAAGTATGCTTACTGCTGGGATCCTGTTGTTGGGACAGAGTCACTTTTCAAAATTGGGAGTGGGAAGGCCCAGGGAAGGCTCTAGTGCCCAAAGTAGGGCCAGGAATCACAAACACACTGTGTCAGCTTCACAGGTGAGCCAATAACAAAGGGTTTTGGTCAAAAGTAGGGTGAAGGTTTTTTCAGAGGAACTTGTGGCCTGTTAAAAGGAAGAAGACAGGGAGGTGATTGTGTTAATAGCAGGTGTCCTATTCTCCAAGTATTCTGAAGAGCAAGGAAAGGGCCTAGGAACACAAGTACTCTATGGCAATGCATGCTGTCAGCTCTGCTGGGCACCAGCAATGTTTTTTATCTTTTTATCTCCTCACCTGCACTGAGGAGCATCTCCTACAGGGTTGGGGGTGGCCAGTCTCAACTGCCTGTGAATGTCATTAGGTCAGTGCTGCCTCCCTCCACTCACAGGGCCTGCAGCAGTGGGAGGAATGAAGTTTGGTTTTTCATTCTCTTGGTCAGGTGAAAGAAAAGATTGTCACCTTTGAGACGGTGAGGGCAATGCAACTGTCTTCCTTTTCCTCCCAACACTTTGTGAAGAATCTCAGTATAGTAGATTTTATTTGATGAAGAGACTTTACCACCTGGCTGTGCCTCCTTCAGCTGTGTACCTTTAAAAGTTTGGTTTGGTTTTGGTTTGGTTTTTTTTTCAGTAAAAGCCAAGAAAGTTTGCCTTGTTTCATTCTGTTTGTTATCCAAAAGAAGTGCTTCAACTTACAGCTTGATATGCAGTAGATTGCACCTAACAGTGCTCCTTCCATTAGTCCCTTTTTCCTATCCAACCTGCACAGTTTTCCTTCATAAAACCGTCTCCGTATCTGAGGTACCTTTCAAGTGAGTCCATCAAACCACTCCCAATCTCTCTGACAATCCACACTGTGAGACTGAATCACCTTCTTACGGTAGGTCTAGCAGGAATTACAGACAGCTTGCAGAGCTAAAATAGCAAAGAGACCCAATCAGAAATGAGGAGTAATTTGATATTTTTCTTAAAGTTCACATTGCTGAGCTGTGAATTGTTTATTACTAACTTGAAGAACTATGTGAGTCAGTCTGGTCTTGTCTCTCCAAAGTAGTCTCAAAATGTGTTTTATGCCTGTCACAAGCAGCTACACCAGCACATACAGCAACACAGTTTATCTCCCAAGTGCCTGCCCAGTGAACCCACTTCTAGAAAGCTGGCTATTTCTCCTTAGCTTTAATAACTGGCTTTACCCCCAAATGAATGAGTGCTATCTCAGCTTCTCTATTTGCATCCATTTCTTACTGTACCTTTAAGTTTATCACTGCTGGAGTAAACAAAGCTGCATGAATTAAGACCCATGACCCCTCACTGTGCACTGGAAGCAGAGCATAAGCAGGCTCCCATTGCTTGTGAGCTACATCCAGTGTTACAACTTGACTGCAGATGGAAATCTGTCATCTAAGTGGGGAGCAAGAAAAGCATAAAACTGCCATCCTCAGAAGTATGAACAAAAAAAGACATAAAGTCATTGATAATGAGCTGAACTGGAAAATTGGACTGTGAAAACATCCTTAATTCAACTCTAAAGAGCAAAGCTTGGCACATATCAGGTTTGTGCTTAGTAAAGTTCTTGCATTGTTCTGTGTACAAGTACGAAGAGAACAAACTATCTACACTCCCAGTGCTCTAGTATTACATTTCTTTTGTAACAACAGGATTTTTTTTTTTTTCTGGAATTATAATTAAAGCATTCTTGCCGTGTCTGTTTTCTGTATTACTTGTATGTGCTCTGTATTACCTAAGGTGTCTAATGAAAATCCATTTACCATAATGGAATATGTATGCACCAATACTACATTTAATAGCCAAGGGCTACTGTAAGGATTTTAGCCTTCTGCTGCAAGTTGGTTTTTCAGTTGGTTACACTGCCTGTTATCCTGCAGACTTCATGAGCTGATAGTGGAAGGTCACATATGTGACCCCTACTAGAAGTCAAATGTGCTGCCTAAGTCAGCCTTGTACTAGCAGAACTGCAGCTGGAAAAGACTGGTGATAAATAACTTAACCAGCTCCATAGGGGAGAGAGTTTGTTTTCCCAGCCTGCCTTTGAGTTTAACTGGAACTTGGAATGAAACACACCAAAACTGGTAACACTAACACTATCAGGTTATCTTCAGCTAGCAGTTTTGCAACTAGATTATCACACAGGGAAAAAAGATAGATATAGGGAAAATGTCTGGAAGTGGTCAAGAGAGGGCTTTGATCCAGAGCTGCAGCATCAGGTGGTAATAGCTTTACCAGGAGATATCTGCTATCTCTGACATTTATTTTCTGTGTATATTAAATTTGAGTAAATAGCTGCTTTGTAGGGAAAAAAAGTTCAGATACTTCATAGGAGCATAGGAATTGCACCTATTTCTACATGTGCTACATTGTGTGGTTGACCTACAAATGGATTTCATACAGATTAAAATACAATGCTGTGTTGGAATTGTGTGTGTTCTTTCCTGAAATATACTAGAAATGCCTACATTTTTGGCACTTGGTTCCTGGGCTCTTCTCAGAATGAAGATTGCAAGACTTGAAAACTGAAGCAGCAAATCCGATGTCATGACTGTGAAAGAGACTGATTCTTCACTGTCCTGTGTAGCCAGTGTGGTATCAGAACTGGGAAGTGTAGGAGTGGAACTGGCTAGAGTTATACCTTGACTGAAATCACCAGGAGAAGTCACCATTGACTTCATCAAGCTAAACTTTCATCCAAAACCTTGAAACCATACCAACAAACATGTTTGTCAGAAAGGAGTAGGGCAGGGAGGAGAAGCAAACTTCACTATTAACTTGTAGGCTTACCTAGAGAAAAAAAACCTAACTCCCATGGCAGAAAGACTGATTTAAAAGGAAATCAGGAGTATAAATCTGTGTTTATGACTTCTGGATATAAAAGTACCTTTATTAAAGGTTTTCTTAGACAAAAAAAAAAAAAAAACTTCAGATGTTTTACAGTTATGAGCCAATGTACTGTTATTTCCTGCCTGACAGCAAGAATATAAAAGACAAATGATGTCCATACAGAGAAGAGCACTCCTGCACCATGGAGGCTCAATTCAAAATAGCAACACTGTTAAAAATTGCTTTATTTTGTAAAAAGTGTACTGCAGCAAATAAGCAACAGCTAAGAGCACTTTACTACAAACTGAACTTGGTGAAAATTAATCTCTTTTTTTTTTTTCCCCCAATCATAATTCCCTTCTCTGCAACTTAGGCTAATGTGTTTTACCAGGCAACAAAATCACATTCAAAGAATTGCACTGTATTTTGTGGTCACCTGTTCTGATATTCAGGACAGCCACTACCCTGGATGTTAATTACAGGTTTATTTGAATTTTCACCATCTTATTATCTATACAGTCATTTGAACTTGTTTGTAGACAGTGGTAAGAGTAATGGTAACTATCTAAGGCTTAATGAGCTAAGACTAATGGTAATGAAGATCTTCAAGATAATTCAGGAGGAACATATACTTTTTTCCCCATCTGACCAACTCAGCTTGTCATTATAATTTTCTTTTACAGAATATAGTTCTTTTCTGTAAAGCTGGCCCAGCTCTGACATGGGTATTTTCTCTATAAGCCTTCCTAGCCACCAAAAAAATAGTCTTTATAACCTAGGTTTGGAAATGTATCAAGCTTTAATCAGCAGGTGCAGCTGAGGAAACAAGTCACAGCTCTGACTTTCCACCTCTGAGAACACAGCTTGTCCCTGCTATGGGTGGTCCCCCAGTCCTACCATAGAATTCAACCTCAGAATTGGCCACATAATTGCATATACCTCCCCCTTTTTTTCTGCCTGTTAAATCACTGCCACTAACTCAATGATTGTTTCACATCTGCCTGCTCTATGCTCAATCCATTGTATTTGAATAAGCCATCTAATAAAATATATCCTCTCCAAGAATACCACCAGGTAGCCAGATCCTTGCATAAGCCTTTCTGCTAAAGGAGTGATATGGTATCAATATGACATATGGTTTAAGGAAATATGTTTTGAGTGAAAAGCTAGAGAACTTACACAGTTAAGCTATGATTCACTGCAGGTTGTAGATGAATGTTTTGAACAGCAATGTATATTGTGCATGCTGCTAAGAACCAGCATTTCACTCATAGCCTGGCATAGTACCCAGGATAATAAATACTGTAGTGTGTGAATGCAGTCACACTGGTCTGAAGCAGGTGGTGTTTTTCAGTGGACAAGCTGTGCTGGGCAGGCTTCCTTGCTTAGTTAGGCAAGGTGCATCTTTTCTGTTGTCTTGGCAATTATGGTAATATAGGCTTGTCAGCTGGGAAAAACAATAGCAGTCTTAAAACTCTTTAAGTTGGGATCCTGAAATTTGGTTTAAAAGTGTTTTGCAGATAATTTTCTACTGAGCTTCAATCTTTAAGACAACACATAAAAATTCCTCCCACACCTCTAAGTGATCCACACATTAGCAGGAATGCTGCACCTTTTTTTGACGGGATGACTGGAAAACTTGCTACCTGTTTGGTATCCAACTATCAACATTTCTTTTGTCACAAGACTTCTTTCACTTGATTTTAAAGTATTATAGCAGTCCTAGTACATGGAGTCAACAACAAATCTCATGGTTTGCGAGTTTCCCCAACTGAAAGATAAAGGCGACAACCGTGTCGTGTTCACAGGGAGCGGAATAGTTTAATCAAGCGTTGTTTGTTAAGATTATTGCAACA